AGGAGAACTTGAACAGGACATGTGGAGATTAATCCCCTGCTCAGTGTGAAGCTCAAACAATCCTTCCAGGGGGAGAAGGCCAAACATCCAGTATGCCGGATGACTTCCTGCCGAAAGGCAAAAGACAAAAATCACGTTAGACTCAGAGAAACAAAGACTCAGACTTGGCTGAACTCAGCTTGGCTAGAGTACCCAAAACTGGCAAACACTCTGGCGTCGAAGTAGTGACAGTCCACCGCTTAAGTCCTCAGTAAGGAGCCAACAGGCCGCATGTGTGTGGGAGGACCAACGAGAACAGGGTGCCACCTGGTGGTGGAGGGGGAAAACACAAAAACACAACTCACACAGACTGGATTCCTAACAATTATACTAAAATTGTTAAAAAGGATATAAATATTTTGTATTTTAGATTAGAAAAACAATTTTTTCTCTGTTAATATTTTCTACCCAGAACGTTAAGTGGAAATTTTCAGTTTGACCTGGTTTCATTCTGTAAAAAAAATCTTCTAGGAACCTTTGCTATATATTTATTATATGATTAATTGAAAAAAAATAATCAACAGATGAATTGATTTTTAAAAAATCGTTAGTTGTAGCCTTTCATCTAATGGTTGTAAGACACTAGAAAAACATTAGTGAGGAGATGCCATCCTTCTCTGAAGTTTTACCTCCCTTATGATCCTATTCACAGACAATCTTAACTGGTTAATTAAGGATGTCATACTCGTTTTCATTTTTGGACAAGATCTTGAATGTCCTCAAAGGTCTGGATGTTCTGTTATATATTCATTACAACCATTAACAGTTCAAGAAATTACTTAAGAGCTTTCTTTGTCGTTGACGAGGACTTCCTAAAATTAGATAATATTGAACTGAAAAATTTTGATAAAAATATTAGATTTAGATGCAGCTGCATTTTTAATCAGATTATCTTAGGCTATTTATGCATCTTTTAAAAGAATACTCACAAATGTGGCTTAAACTCCACATAATGCTTCATTTCTCTTCCCTACAGATCCCCTTTAAATCATCGTTATTAATATTTTTAACAAAGACTTGCCTTAGCCTGATCCAACATTACAGTTGTCTGTTCTAAGAGTATCATCTGCTGCACATCTTTATTTTATTCTAAGTACATTTTAGCTCCCAGACTCAAAAGTTTTGTCCATCTCTGCTGAACAGCTCCTGTTCCAATACTTAAGGCGCTCCTAATCAGCCGGTTGGTGCAGAATAATTCCTAAATGAGAACTTCATGGTTTTATTTCTGACTCGGTGAGAAATTTTATTTTAGCTAATCCCTGCTAACAATGTGCCACTTGATATCTTGATCTTGCACAGCCTTTAGCACCCACATTGTCAAGCACAGGCACGCACGCACGGACACCCACGTAGCTGCTCGCACGTTCCTACTTTCACACTATTGTTTCTTTTCTCGGTTTCTTAGCGACAAACAACAAGACTTTAAGTCTAAACAGAAAAGTGGCTAAATATGGGATTCTCTCCACTGTGACTTTTATCTGAAATGAATTAACTCCAGCGATGCATTGTCAGTGTCTTGGAAACTAAATCCTCCCTTAATTATTTCTCTGCCATGTCAAAATTGTGGCACAATCAAGGGTATTCAACGAGCTGTCACATAGAAAATGCAAGAATGTTAATCGTTAGCTGGCAGTGCTGCTGGTGAAGAGAGAGAACAAAACAAGGAGGAGGGAAAGGGGAAGAAAATAGTACAGGGCATTTTATTTGACACTTAGGGACCTCTTTTTCAAACTTGATGTTTTTTTTTAGGTTTGCAAAGCAAAGCAGGGCTGCATGTGTTTTTTTTATCATTATAACACCAGGTTTACTTTAAAAGAACATGTCTCTCAACAGAAATCGTGAGCCTTGACAGCTATGACAGTGAGGGTCCACATACCCCAGAGACGGATGACTCAGCCGAGGTGAGGAACCAGCTAACAAAGGTCAACACTTACACCCTTTTAAATCAGCAGTCATGCACTTTTCATATGAATTCCCCCACTGAGCGGCATGAAAAACATGGACAGTCAGGAAGAAAAAAATGCTTACGTTACTGTTTGAGCTTTGATTTGAAGATGTCGGATGTCTGCAGGGAAAAGGCAAATCCATCAAGCCACCCTGTGAGGAAGACTTTCAGACCATCAAACTGATCAGCAACGGAGCTTATGGGTAAGAGAAAGATTTGTGCCTCACTCAACCTGCACAGAAAGTGTCACATCTGCTTAAAGGTATAGTGGAGGATTTTTAATGAACTTTTGAAAGAACCACCCCCTCCACTTAAAAAAAAATGCACATGCACAACCCTGCACCCGCTCCCAAGAGGGAACAGCAGTTTTTTTTCTCCCACACTGTTTACATTTAATCACAGCTGCACTTTAAGAAATGGAAATGTCACAAGACCTATACAAAATGAAATTTTGTTTTTCGTACACTCTGTGTATACAAAATGACAACAAAAGTTGTCTAAGTCTAAATAGATGTTTTTAGACTTAGACAAAGTTTAAAAGTTGCTGTTTGCATCGCTCATACTGGCTTAATTTCCAAGGGAAGATTTGCAATTTTTTCCACCATGTCAGACTCAAAGTGAAAATGGGGGACGAGCACGTAGGACGGCCTTACGTAAACATATCACCAGAATGATTAATAAATTAGGAGGACCACTTATTTAGATGATCCACCCCGAAAAAGAAAATCCTCCACTATACCTTAATGTCAAGGTTTGGTTTTAAGGTTTTTGTGAGGACCCAAAAGCAGAAGCTGAGAGGCAGGGGTGAGATCTTTGAAGGTTTAATGAAGGATGACAGGCAGCCAAACAGTATTCCAAAAATCCAACTTAAAAATGTTAACCAAAGCAGGAATCCAAAAATCCAATATAAGAATTAAACACAAACCAGACCCATGGAGACATCAGGGGGAAAAAAATCATGAGGAGCCAGGGTAGGACGAAGTAAGAAGAGGAACCAGCACTGAGGGACTGAACAGGGAGTGTATTTATGGCTGACTGAACAAAGGCAGGACTAACGAGCTGATAAGGAGCAGGTGTGAGTTGCTTGCACCTGCCAAGGGAAAAGAAAACACAAGGGGGCAACAGAGGACAAGCAAAGAAAAACCTAAGAAACTAAAATAAATCCAGAACACATCAATAAAGCTAGAAAAGAAAACATGGATAAACATGAAACTGTAAACTTAGAGAAAACCAACAGAACCAAGATCGTTACACTTAAAGCTTGGATTTCAACTCAATTTAGGCGATAAAATCTGTGTTTTTAGGGGGGGGAACCTAGGAGCTACCAAAAAGAAAAGAAAAAAAATCAGATTCTTGTGATGTATATACATAAATTTGACAGTTGGTAGCATTTTAATATTTTTTAATGTGGCATATGATTTATGGCTGAAATGAGAAATCACTAAACTGTTAGAGGTTAAAATAAAAAAGAAAAACATCTGCAATAACCTAGCTTCCCAAAGTGTGCACATTTTGTAACTCTTATTTATCGCATTTTAAGCGCATTTTGATAAAGATTTCTATAAAGGTTTATTTTAAATAATTTTTTATATTTGCCCACTCTTCCTCGTCCTATATGAACATCAGATTAGGAGATCTTTTATCCTCAGGCCTCTTCAGGTGACCTAATAGATTGTCTATAAGATGTAATAAATTTTTCTGAGGAAGTCCAATATTTAGTGATGTGGATATGTAGATGTTTCAGTCTGGACTATTTGTAGTTTAGAAGTAATTACGGCAAAAACTCTTATTATGCCACCAAAAGGTTCCTTGTGGGTATAGTTTCCCCTTGTAATGTGTCTCTTTTGACGAAACTTGTTTAAATTGTAGAAAAGATATAAATTTATTATTACTTTCAGATGATTTTAGGAGAAAACAATAACTACTGGTTGGGAAACTCATGAAGCTTGTTTGGTGTTGCCTTCAGCGCCTTGGCAGCCTTCATTCCCTCTTTTTCCATCTTCTCTTCACTTCTATGTTCCATGACAAATATTGTGAAGTAATTTTTTTTCTGTGCGTGTGTGTTTGCTGAACTTCACTTCAGGTGTTTGTTGCTCCTAATAGATCTGTTGGTTTTTCAGCCAAAGCGTTGCATAATGAAGCTTTATATAACAATACCTTTGAAAACTATCAGGAAAAAAATGGGTAAAGAAAACAATGTATATCCATCCATTTAAGAATTTAGAGAAGCCAATTAACCTAACAGTCATTTTTTTGGACTGTGGGAGGAAGCCTGAGTATCCAGAGAGAACCCACGCATGCTCAGGGAGAACATGCAAACTCCATGCAGAAATACCCCGGGCTGGAAATCGAACCCAGAATCTTCTTTCTGCAAGGCAGTAGGGCAAGGCACTGCGCCACTGAGCAGCACAAAATAATGTAAAAAGCATGTATATATTTTAAATGTTATTTGATATATGGTTATCTGTTTTGGTATTTAAATGATGTAGCATTTTTGTTATTTGATGATCATTTATTCCATTGAAAACAAATAATTAACGCTCTCTTAGAGTTTACATTTCTATCAAACAAGATTAGGATAAATACTTTTAGATTGCTCAATATTTGAAGGTTTTATTTTAGTTTTGAAAATAATTTGCCTTCTTAAGTAACAATGCAGGATCCTTTCTTAATTTTTTTCAATTTAAGCTAAAATATATAAAGGTGGTACTTTTAATCTATGAGCAGAAAACCAAGAGATGAAAGGTTTTTCAGAGTCTGATCCTTTGTTTGCCACCGAACTATGTTTATGGTTTATAGTAAAAAAAAAAAATGCTTTTTATAAACTGAGATGCATCCAAGTTCCTGGACAAATAATTTTTGACATGACAAAAGAACCAAAGCAAACAGAATCGAAAGCACTGCTCTATTTTTTTTACTTCTTTGCACTCAAAATATTAAAAGGATCAGGGAGTTAAAAAAAAACCCAACTGGATTTGGATTGGAGACATTTTATATGGTCCGTGTCTAACATTTAGTCAGGGAATGAGGTTTTCATTGATTTGAAAGTATCTTATATAATTTGAAATGGATTCAGGAAATAATCAGCCCCCAGGGATTTAAAGGGAAGTATAGCACACTGTCATTTTTATCCTGACCCGTGCATATGCTGCAGCATGATAAAAGCTGCCTCAGATGGCTTAGGAAGCAGAGAAAGGCTTGGAGTAATTGGAAAAAAAAAATAAATAAAAAACGCTTTAAATGTCTTGAACCTAAAAAAAACTTTTTATAAATCTGCTTTAAATGAACTCTATGTTCAACATAACCCCTTTTTTTATTCCTCTGTCCCTGTTTGGTCTCCTGCAGTGCCGTGTATCTGGTGCGGCACAGGGAGACACGTCAGCGGTTTGCCATGAAGAAGATCAACAAGCAGAATCTGATCCTGAGGAACCAGATCCAGCAGGCGTTTGTGGAGAGGGACATCCTGACTTTTGCAGAGAACCCTTTCGTTGTGTCCATGTTCTGTTCCTTTGAAACACGCCGCCATCTCTGCATGGTTATGGAATATGTGGAAGGTAACTGGATCTGACTAAATGTCAGAGATAGAGTGAGATAAAGAACATATCCTGCTTGCCCTTCTCTTTTCTTTTTCACATAAACATCATTTGTATTTAGTTTATAAAGCTTATTAAACTTCTTACATTTGTGAAGGTTTTTCCATTAAAAAGAATTATCAATGGGGGGAGATTTTCAGGGTGTTGTTGTCTTTAAAACACAAGAGAGTATTTGTTTTTTATAGTTTTACTTCGGTTTTGCCTGTCATCTCAACCTCACCACAAGTTCTTGATGTTTAATGGATGGGAGACTAATAGAAGATTATTCATGTCCTCTTATTTAATTTAATCTCATTTCCTTTTGTTCTCAAAAAGCCGGCGCCCTGCAGCTGTGATCTAGTTAAATGTTTTCAGTTATTATTGTTGACTGTTGGATTGTTGGTCATTTAATTATAAATCTGGAACGCCTTTGTTTAGCAGAAACCTTCCTAAATCTTGAAGCTCCTTTTCAATTTGGAAAATAAGTAATTCTTTTTTTCTTAGTCTCTCACTGACAGCAACACTAAAAATGCTTTTTTTCAGGTTTAGGTTTAGAAGTGTTTCTTCTTGCAGCATATTGTGATAATGAGCAGGCTAAAGTTAGTGATTTATTTAACTTATAGTTAGTTTTATTTACCTGGACTAAAGTTTTCTAGAAACATTTCCACACCATTCCAGGATTCTTTGTCAGTTCTGCCAGCTTGCATTAGAGCAACCTGTAGTTGTATTGTTTTTTTCAGCAACTGTAGGCCCATCCTCTTAAGAACATGTGAAGTAAGATACCAGTTGTTTATCGGGGTCATTGGTCTGTTGTTTTGTATGAGATTTGTGTTCGGCCGTTTGAATCACGATGAGACTACGTGTAAAACTTCTGTAGATGCTTGGGGGCTGAAGCCACAATCTTCCCCCTCTGTTCATTGATGGCTTTTCTATTTTAATAAACATGGCTTCCTGCACCCCTCTATTAGAAAACATTATCTAAAGATGTGCTGCAACATTGTTCACTTCGCTACCCTATTTCCTCAGGGCTGCAGCAACAGTGGAGTTAATTTTGACAAACCATATTTCATTCTTAAACCGT